AGGAGGGAGGCGACGGCCCTCGCCAGGGAGCTCGGCTTCACCGAGTTTATCCGCGAGGCCTGACCTGAGGAGCGCCCCCCCCGAGCCGCGCCTTCTCTCGACTGCCCGCATAATTGTTCGGCCTCGCGCCGCGGACGACCCGCGCGCGTCGCTGGGGCCCTCTCGGGGCGACCAGCGCGCGTCGCGGGGATTCCGCGCGGCGCTCTGCTCAGCGCCTCGCTCGCCCGTCGTCGCTCTGCCCAGCGGCCGGAGCCTTGCCCGCAATCAGCCGGCCGGCTAGCTCTCTGTGCTCCGCGCAGCGGACGACCTGCGCGCGTCGCTGGGACCCCTCCGCGGCGACCTGCGCGCGTCGCGGGGACTCCGCGCTGCTTTGCGCCCGCAGCCTTTGGATTTTTGGAGCGCGCAGGCAAAGAGGGGGGAAAAGAAGGGGCGGAAGCGGGTGCGATCCCCGTGAGGGGCGTGCCGACATGGGCGTCGCGGCGCGCGGGCGCTGCCGTCGGGGTTCCCGCGGAAGCTGCCTGCGGCGGCCACGCCCAGTGTCACGAGTGTTCGGACAGGCGTGCTCGAGCCATTCACATTCATATACATTTACACTAGGCGTAGCCAATATCGCATTCATGCAAATATACTCACTCCCACGTAGACCCATTCACACTCAGACTCTCTCGCGCTCTGGCTCACCCGCGTTCATTCTTTCGTAACATGACCTATCGTATTCCTTTGCGTTGTGTGCCCCGCCATATTTCGGCATACCCCTTATGCGGTTCGTGACCCCATACGGAGCGCCACCGAAGAAGGTACTCACAATTGCGGCACTCACAACTGCATATGGTTGGGTCTTTCGCCAGGATAATTTTTTCGCCCCGGATCCATCTCTGATGGCCCTGGGCCAGGATGACAGGCCCCGAAGGCCGACCTCAAGGAAACCTCGAAGCCGAACAGTTTGAGATGCGAAGACCGTCGCGCTCTGTCGGGCGAACTGCCTCGGATGGTGGCAGGGCACCGCGCAGCAAAACGTTGCCCAGGGAGACACGGCGGACGACTTCATGGATTTCTGCGCGTGGGCCTCCTGCGTGCACTGACACTGCGCGTCGGCACCAGGCGCCCGCCCTCCTCCTCCTCCTCCTCCTCCTCCTCCTCCTCCTGCTGCCTCCTGGGCCTCCTCCCTCGCTCCTTACATGGCCCCGCAAGCCGGGCGCGGCGCACGGCGCCCGCCGCCGCAGGCGCAGCACGCGCAGGGGCCAGCCGCAGGCGGGCCCGCCCGGCAGGAGGACTCCTCGCCTCCCTCGGTCGGCTCCGCCGGTGGTCTGACGTGTTCGTGGTTTGCCCTGCGTTTCCTCGGTCGATGCTTCCCCGCGTGTTCGTCGAGGGGGCTGCTTCCTGCGCGGCGCTGCCTCCCGTGGGGCGGGGTCGCTGCTTCCTATGGGGCGGGGGGGGCAGTCGATGAACAGGGGGGGAAGTGCGCCCTGCGTGCGCCTTCGGAGCCCGCCTGCTGTTTCGCTGGCAGCCGCACATTTCGTATGCCGAGCTAGTATGCCGAGCGTCCCCGGCTACTCGAGCGCGCGTGCGGATTGCCTCCGCCGCGCTGTGACGGGAAACAGGTGCTCCTTCGGGGCTCCAGGGGGGGTTGCCCCTAGGACCCTTCAGCATGAAGAGGAAGCAGCGGCATACGCGTAAACTTTTGGAGATATGCGTGGACTTTCCCTGGTCGGCGCTGGACCAACGTCCCTGGCGCGCGGAGGGCGCCAAGGGGGGAGTCCAGCGCCGGCCCGAGAAATTCGCGCGGACCAGCCTCTCCCACTCGGCGCCGGGGACCACTGGCTGGGCCCATCCGCCCCCCCCACCCTGGGCCACACCACCCGCGACGCCGTGGGCCCCCCCGCCCAAGCCCCGCCGCCCCCTCCCGCTCTGGCTGGAAGGAGAAGGAAGCGGTGAACGCAGGAGGAGGAGGAGGAGGAGGAGGAGGAGGAGGAGGAGGAGGAGGTGGGAGGAGGAGGAGGAGGAGGAGGGGAGGAGGAGGAGGAGCACGATGGGAGTAGGAGTAGCAGGAGGGCAAGCAGGAGGGCGAGTAGGAGGGGAGGAAGGCCTTTGGAGCATGGCGAAGACCAGCGAGAACATGGGAGAGAGAGTCGAGAGACGATACACGTACATAATGTGTATATATATACACACATATCTGTGCTTATATATATATATATATTATTTATATATATTATATATATAGTAAATAGATATACAGACTGCATTGGCGCTGCGCGCCATGCACCTTGGTCCTTTGAGTTCCGCACGCAAGCGGGATGCGTGCGTGCGTACATGCGCGCATGCATGTATACACGCGCACGCGCATGCACGTTCCGTATGTCTGTCTAGGTGTATGCAATATACTTACATTGTTCTATGTGTATACAGCGTACATATGTACATCTGAACTTATGTGTGCAAGGGTATGAACATGCAAATGCAACTCGTACGTGCTTTGTCGGTGCACGCCCACATGTATATATATATGTGTATATGTATACGCATATCTATATATGCATATATGTATATTGCCAATCCAAGGGAATGCGCGCGTAGGAGTCGATTGCCTCTCAGGGGCTTCTGGGACGCCTGGAGGCCTCACGATCATCTTGCGAAAGTTGTTGGGGGCATCCTCGGGCATCCTCGCTGCATGCCACGAGACCCTCAACGTCTGGGTCACAATGTGGAATGTCATGGGAGCAAAATCAATGAATGTTGGAATTCGGAAACATCGTGGGGGTGTTTTCGGGGCCCTCGTGAGCCGTTTTGGCGCCTTCATGGGCCGTCCTGGGGCCTTCTTGGGCCGTCTTGGGGAGCTTGGGCCCGCTGGAGCCCCCTTTGGACCCATCTTGGGCACTTCCGGGGACCTCCCATGGACCTTTTGGGTCTGTGCTGGGAGCCCTTGGGGGGCCTCTTGGGTCCATTATGGGCTGTCTTGGGGCTCTCGTGGGCGATCGTGGGGCCCGGCTCGGCCGTCTTGAAGCTTTCTTGGGGGCCTCTTGGGGCGTCTTGAGGCGATCTCGGGGGCTTTGAAGCCGTCTTGAAAGCTGATGAAATCCGAAAGGCGAATATGCTAAAGTTGTAAGTTTTACAAAAGGGAATGAAACGATTTTTGTGTTTTGTGAAGGCCCCTTGGAAAGCGTTTTGGGGTGCCTTGGGGGTCTTTTGGGCCGTCCTGAAGCAATTGGAGTCCCTCTTGGAGCGCTCTTGTGCTGTCTGGGGCCTCCCTTGAGCCTTTCTGATGACCCCTCTGATCGCTCTGGGTCTGCTGGCAAGGCGTTTGCGGAGACGCCGGGTGACCTTTCCAAGGAAGTCCAAGGGAGCCCGAGAACCCCAGATCCCGGGGATCCATTTTTACCTAACAGCTTTTGCTGATAGGTTTCTAGTAGGGTCAAAAGAGAGCATCTGGACTCCACAGGGGGGTCTGGGCGGGTGCCGGGGAGGAGGGCCGGGAACAGAGCCGGGCTCGTTTTAAGCCAACAATCACACACTTCGTGCTCTTCGACCTCCCAGAACTCCATTCCCGGGCCACATTTTGAATAACCGGAGCCAACTGTAGGCCACTTCGTGCTCTTCGACTTCCCAGAACTCCATTCCCGGGCCACATTTGGATGCCCGGAGCCAACTGTAGGCCACTTCGTGCTCTTCGACTTCCCAGAACTCCATTCCCGGGCACATTTTGGATGCCCGGAGCCAACTGTAGGCCACTTCGTGGTCTTCGAGTTCCCAGAACTCCATTCCCGGGCCACATTTTGAATGCCCGGAGCCAACTGTAGGCCACTTCGTGCTCTTCGAGTTCCCAGAACTCCATTCCCGGGCCACATTTTGAATGCCTGAGTGTTTTTCGACAGGCTGAGGCTGAGGCTGAGCAGGCAGATGCTGAGGCAGGCTGAGACTGAGCCGAGGCTGAAGGCAGATTGAGGCTGAGGCTGAAGCAGGCCGAGGCTGAGGCTGAGGCTGAGGCAGGCTGAGGCTGAGGCTGAGGCAGGCTGATGCTGAGGCAGGCTGAGGCTGAGGCTGAGGCTGAGGCTGATGCAGGCTGAGGCTGAGGCAGGCTGAGGCTGAGGCCAAGGCTGAAGGCAGACTGAGGCTGAGGCTGAAGCAGGCTGAGGCTGAGGCTGGGGCTGAGGCTGAGGCAGGCTGAGGCTGAGGCTGAGGCAGGCTGATGCTGAGGCAGGCTGAGGCTGAGGCAGGCTGAGGCTGAGGCTGAGGCTGATGCAGGCTGAGGCTGAGGCAGGCTGAGGCGGAGGCCGAGGTTGAAGGCAGACTGAGGCTGAGGCTGAAGCAGGCTGAGGCTGAGGCTGAGGCAGGCTGAGGCTGAGGCTGAGGCTGAGGCTGGCTGATGCTGAGGCAGGCTGAGGCTGAGGCTGAGGCTGATGCTGGCTGAGGCTGAGGCAGGCTGAGGCTGAGGCTGAGGCCAAGGCTCAAGGCAGACTGAGGCTTTGGCTGAAGCAGGCTGAGGCTGAGGCTGAGGCTGAGGCTGAGGCAGGCTGAGGCTGAGGCTGAGGCAGGCTGATGCTGAGGCAGGCTGAGGCTGAGGCTGAGGCTCATGCAGGCTGAGGCTGAGGCAGACGGAGGCTGAGGCCGAGGCTGAAGGCAGACTGATGCTGAGGCTGAAGCAGGCTGAGGCTGAGGCTGAGGCAGGCTGAGGCTGAGGCAGGCGGAGGCTGAGGCTGAGGCAGGCTGAGGCTGAGGCTGTGACTGCGACTGCCGTTGCCACTGCGACTGTCATCGCGAATGCGACTACGACTGCGAGAACAGCAGAATTCTACAACTGGATTCTCATCGAATCTTAAGGGGAATGCTTCCAGTATGCTCCTACACATCGCTGTTAGGTTGCTTTGCCGGTTTTTTTTTTTTTTTGGGGGGGGGGGACGGTTTCCCCCCCCCCCCCCGGGCTTGTAAAAATATAGGAAGAGGAATATGGAGAGAGAGAGAGAGAGAGAGAGAGAGAGGGAGGAGAGAGAGGGGCGGACGTCCTGTACAACATGGCGTAGAAGCCGTAGTTCACGCCGTGCCTGCAGCGCGCCGCCGGCTCGTTGATGTCTGGCAGCACCCTCGACCTCTGTGCGCCCCGGGAGCGGCAGGGCATGCAGCCGAGCTGCCACTGCGAGGCACGCTGGACGGGGAACGGAGCCCCTCCTTGGGCCCAGCAGCTGTCGCCTCGGTGCACGAGGAGCGCCCGAGGCCAGGCACAACCGCGGAAGGACCGCCGGTCGGGAACAGCTGATGCCTTGCGAGCTGATGCCGCCCGAGGAGCGACGCGCTGTGCCCTGCGAGCTGACAGCGCGTCGCTCCGCTCCTCGGGGCGGGAGGCTCTGAAGAGAAGCTCGGGGCGTGGACGCCTGGGGGCCGGGACGTGGTCCGGGTGTCGCGCCGAGGCGCCGTGGGCCGGTGAGGGGGGTCGGGTGTTGCTAGAAGTGCCCCTGGGCCAAGGTGCCCCCAGGATTCTAGGGGTACCCCAAGCGGCCTCCAGAGCACCCCTCACGAGTTCCAGAGGGCCCCAGAGGCTCCAAAATGGAACGAAAAGCTGGGGGCACCTTGGGCCAGGGGTACTTCTAGCAACACCCGAAGGGGGAGGGCGTCCGCAACCGAAGGACATGTGGCAGTGCCTCGGGGCACTGCGAGGGAAAGGCGGTGCCCGCACCGGACAGTGTCGGGGGAGAGACGGGGGGCGCACTCGTGGGGGCGTGATGGCCTGGGAAGGACGATGGGTGGTTCCAAGATGGGGTCCTGGGGGCGTGGGTCGTAAGGAGAGGAAGGGACCCAAGGCTTGATTTGCAATGTCTGAAGCACCTCGTCCTCAGGACCCCGTCCCTTAGGACCCCATCTTTGAAACACCGATTCGAGGGTCCTATGGAGTGATGGTCTAAAAAGGACGTAAGAAACTCGGGGGGCTCGGGTTGGTCAGACGAAACCGTCAAGAAACGGACGAAACAGTCTGAAATTTGACGCGAGCTCACGCTGCAAACATCCCACAACTGAAACTGGACCGCCAGAGCTCAGGACGGGCCCGCCAACAAACTTCCGCACACCCGCGGTCTGGCGAACTCGAGTCTTGCGTTCCCCCGAGTTTGGGAGAGACGAGGATTGGCGGCGCGCACAGAGGGAGGGGGGGGATGGGCTCCTCAGAAGGAGGCCGCCTCTTGGAAGGCGCTGGCCTCGCATCCACAGTCGAGGCCCGCGCCTCCTGCTAGAAGAGAAGCAGGGGTGCTTCTGAGAAGCCCCCCCCCATCCCCCCACTCCCCCCTGCGCGTGGCCGAGAGGATGGGGGACTTGCTGTGCCGCCGAGCGGCGCGGGAGCGGCGCCCCCTGCGGGGGCAGGCGAGCAGGGCATCGAGGAGGAGGGAGGAGGGAGGAGGGAGGAGGGAGGAGAGAGGAGGGAGGAGGGAGGGAGGGAGGGAGGGAGGGAGGGAGGACTCGCTTTAGGACTCGCAGTTGTGACTCCGGCCCTCGGGCCGCGGTAGCCCCCTGGCGCGGTCAAGCAACCGCCCCGCTGGGCCAACGGCTGCCGCGCCAGGGGTGCCGGACGTCACCGCGGTGCGGTCCGTCCTCCCTCCCGAGGAAGAGGCGAGGAGAAGTGGGGGGGTGGGGCGAAGAGGAGTGGCGGGAGGGGGGGCAGGGCGGGGCGGGAGGGGGAGGAGCACGGCGGGGCAGGGGCGAGAGGAGCAGGGTGGGCCCGCCCCCGCCGGGCCGCGCCGCGCAGGCGTTGGCCCGTAGCCGCGCAAGGCCACCACGTCCCCCGCGGCTCCCACGAAGTCCCCTTGACGACGGCCCAGGGACCCCCGACGCGATCCCCGAACCCGCCCCGACGCCCGCCGGGGAGGCGGCCAGGCGCCCTTCCGGCGCAGGAAGTCACGGGCGATTTTTTGCCGAGTTACCAAGAACTCGGCAAAAAACCGCTCGGGACATTCGCGCCAAAATGGCTTCCGACCCGCCGCCGGGCGGCGTCCGAGAGGGCCCGGCGGGGGGGGGGGGGGGGTTTTTTACGAAGCGGGGGGGGGGGAGGAGGAGGAGGGGGGGGGGAAAGAGGGCGGGCATGGCGACGTGCGGCCCCCCCGCCGGCGCCCCGGCACGGCCCCGGCGCGGACCCCCCCTCCCGCGCCGGCGCGCGCCGGCAACCCCGGCCCATCCAGCCCCCCATCGGCCCTCCCTGCACCGTCGGAACGCCACGCCACTCAGGGACCCCCGATGGCCGTTCCCGAAAGCCAGTGACTTCCTGCGCGCGCGGCGGCCCCCCCCGCAGCGTTGGCCCCCGCCGCCCTCCCGACCAACACCGACCGCGCTCGAACCCTGCGTCGTCTAGGGCCCGTTGGTTGCGGCCGGCTCCGGCGTCTCGCCGCTGGCCCAGGGTGGGGGCGGAGGGGTGGGGTCGCGGCAGGGTGCAAGATGTCGCAGGTCCCTGGCCCAATTACCCCCTCCCCACCACGCCCCCAGGAGCCGGCCCCGGGGGCCCCCGGCCCGGGGGGGTGGGGGCGGCGGGGGGCGGCGTGCAGCGCAGCGCAGGAAGTCACGAGCGGTTTTTTGCCCAGTTCCCAACAACTCGGCAAAAAACCGCTCGGGACATCTGCGCGAAACTTGCCCCCGCCCCCCCCCCCGCGGCGGTGTCGGGGCCGCCCGGGGGCCCGGGCGCCAGTGGCAAAGGGGGGGGGTGCGGGGTGGCCCCCTGCCCCACCCCACCGTTCCTGCGCCCGCCCGCGCCCTCGCCGAACCTGCCCCCCATCGCGCCTCCAGCTTCTTTTTCATAGCTCGGTGCCGTCGGGCTTTGCTGTCTAGGGAACTATGCGCCACCGCGCGCGCAGGTCTACCTCCAGCGGCAGGGGGAGGAGGAGTTAGCATAAGAAGCTTTCTGGTGATCCTTGGGGCGAGGGGGCGGCGGGGGAGGTGGGCCGAAGACCATGCATGACCGCGCGCCTCGGGCGCGGCGCGGGGCAAGCAAGCGGCTGGTGGCGCGCGCGTGCCCGCCCCTCCCGGGCGCCGCCGAGGGGGGGCGCGGAAAACGAAGGGAACTTAGAATCGGAAATCGTCGCGGCCCGCTCAGATTGCCCCCCGCCCGCGGCGCGCCGAGGTCCTCCTCCGCGCCGAGGCCGGGCTCTACGGCGGCGCAGCTCCGAGCCGAGGCCCGGCCGGCCCGCAATGGGCCGTCGTCAGCGTCACCGGCGCCGCCGTCGCGCCCCCGCGCCCATGCCGAGGGCCTCCATGATGGGCCGGGGCGCTGCGGACGAGCCCGCCGCTGGCCGCGCGGTGGTCGCCGCCCCGAACGCCTGCACCCAGCACTCGGCGAACTCCGAGATGTTGGCCTTCACCCCCTTGATGACCGCGGCCCCGGTGCCGAGGGCCAACTGCGCCGAGACGGCGCTGTTCTTGCGGTAGGCGGTCCGCGGCGGGACAAACACCCAGGGCACGAAGAGGCGGCTGTCCCCTCCCGTCGCCGCCGACCAGGACGTCGAGGGGGGCTTGCGCCACGGGCGCCCTGCCTTCGCTTCGGGGTACTGCGCTGGAATGGGCGGGCCCCCGAACGGCTGCAGCAAGGCCCGGGCCTTGTGGGCGAAGGAGTCTGGGTCGCGGACCGGCGTGCCGAACGCGACCTCGAAGACTGGGGGCCCTCCTGGCATCCTGGGCGCCGCGCCCTGTGCCGCCACGTGGAGCTTCTCCAGGAAAGCGCGCCCCTCGGCGGCGCCGCCCGCGGGCGCCGGCGCCCGCGCCAGCCCCGCGCCAGCCGCGGCGGGCGGGTCCTGGGCGGTGGGCACGTGCGGCGCCCACGCGCGGATGGTGTCGTGGAGGTGCTGGGCCGCCTGCTCGAGGGTGGGCTCCGCCACGAACAGGGACTCGATGTCGGCCTGCACGGCCGCGAGGAGCCCCGCCACTGCGTCGTCTGCGGCGCCGGGGTCTGCGGGCGCCGACGCGTCCGCCGGCGCTGCGGCCGGTCCGCGCGGACCGTCGGCCTGCGCCCCCACTGGGGCAGGCCGCGTGAGCTGCGTGATCTGGTGCGCGTGAGGCTCCGTGGCTGCTGCCGTCGGGCCCGCCGCCGCTCCGTTGCCGCTCGGGCGCGGGGAGGCGCCCGCGGTGGGGAAGAGGCTGCTCGCTCCCCCCGCCGCCGGCGCTCCGCGCGCGCCGGCGCGGCTCGGCGTCGCTGGCGGGGCGGCCGCCGCCGCGGGCCCCGACCGCGGGAGGGTCGGGCCGGTGGGCGTGCCACCCTGCGGCTTCCCCACGCCCGCCGCGCGCGCTGCCAGGTCGGGGGGCGGCCGCATGGCGGGTGGCGCTGGTCCTGTGCGACCCGCCACGTCGTCGGCCGCCGCTGCCGCCTGCGCGGCGCCACCTGGCGGCCTGGCGGGCATGGCCGGCGCCGGGGTCTGCGCCTGCTCCGGGCGCGGTGCCTCCGCCCAGCACACCGCGCCGCCCACGGGGGCCCCCGGCGGCGGGCGCAAGGGGGCGCGCGCGCACGAGCCCGTCACCGCGCCTGGCGAAGTCGCGGCCGAGTCCTGCGCCCCGCCCGGCGGCGGCCCGGCGCGCCCCGGCGCGGCGGCCTGCGGCGGGGCGTCGGCGAGATGCCCGGGCGGGGGGGCTCCCCCCGCGGAGGGGGCCAGCGCCGGCGCGGGGGCGCGCGCGCCGCCCGCGGCGTCGGGGGACGCCATGTCCCGCGCCCCCCTGTCCGGCGGCGGCCCAGCCCCCGCGCGCCCGGTGGCGTGCCCAGCCGCCCGCGGCGGCGCCCCCGCTCCGGCCAGCTGCCCCGCGGCCAGCGCCAACGCCATCGGGCTGAACGGCAACGACCACCCCGCCGCCGGCAGCATCAGCCCCGCCGCCCAGGGCATGGCCGGTGGGAGCGGCGCCGCCAGCGGGGTTTCTGCCTGCGGCGCGCCCCCGGGCGTCTTGGGCGTCGCCCCAACGAACGCCTCGTCCCCGCCGTGCGCCCGGTCGCCGCGGTCGGGTCGACCCTCCTGCTGCTGGGGGCCGAGGTTGTCCGGGAGCGTCGGCGCCTGCGAGGCTTCGAGGCGGCGGCCCTCCGAGCGCGCGCGGCGCCGGTCGCGGCCGCCACTGCGGCGCCGGTCCCTGCGGCGGCGGA